CTATAATAGAATTCTTGAAAAATCGGTTTCTCTTCCAATTTAAATGTTGGTGTGTGTTCACCTCGTTGTCGCAGCTTGGTTATGTTGTACGGGCGATTTAGTAAAACGCACCTCTTCGTCTTCATATTTTCGATTAAATGTAGAAGGTTGTGATAACTGCTAACAAAAGGCTATTGGTTGGGCAATGGGAGAAGTAGCTAAATCCGCTGGCCAATTTAGATATTTGTCAGTGAACAGCTCAGACATTTATGGTGTTCACGATAAAATTGGGCGACTCTCCCGGTTTCCTGGCCCATCTCATCATATCTTGGGCATCTGAAGACGACACTGCAGTCTAGATGAGCATTTCTGATTCAGATACAGAACAAGTGAATAGAGGATTCTCCTCAACCCGTCATAAACAGCTCTGCAATCTGTCCTCTCATCAGTCTCGATATTTTCTTTAGACGTTTTACTTATTTTATCTAAGCTCTATTATTCACACGACATGTCATTGTCCATACAACCTAAGCATTGTCTGGTGTGTTCAGAACTAGAGACTCGGTAAAAAAAGGGACATGTTGCGGTGGCAACAGACAAAAGATGAACTACTTAACAAACAAGTAAATAGGGCTATATGAACAAATTCACATATAGGCACGCGCATTAGCCTCCTGGTTACAGTGGTGAGCCAAACGATTTCAGCCGATAACCTTGTCTCCAAATGAGTCTTTCTGTCCGTCATGTTGCCATTTTGTCGAAGGGCCGATTTGTTCATCAGTCCGATGCCTCATCAACAAGTCAGTTTCGGAATGGAAAAAGACAGCCCAAGTCAACCGTTCCTCCTCTAGGCCTTCTGGTCTTCCTCCCGGACATACACACAGCCATGGTGGCAAGTGTTTCGTGCTATTTCTTTTTGAAGGCCAGCTTTTGCGCCGACTCGTTAGTCAGGCCGGCCGCAACAGAAAAAATAGGGAAAAAAGGACAAACAACCGGGCATGCTGTCGAGACGATCGAGAGTTGTGTGTAGGCAAAGGAGAGAATAGGTTATCGAGGGGGCGAAATTGCGTGCAATGCCTGCTTGAGACGGGTCAACGAGACGGTATAGCCGGGCAGAAGTGACAACAACTGACAGAATGACTGCAGTAGTCGGGCTCTTCTTAGAGCTGTCTCTGCCTGCCAGACGGCTTAATGCGATATGATAGGCAGACGAACCCAGGACAGGCCTCAAGGGCAATCTTACCTCCTCGACGTGAGGCGCTGATCGTCCCGGCCATACAGCATGACGGCCGGAAAACAGCCGAAGGGGGCATGTGGGGGTGATGTGAAATGACGCCTGAAACCGGCCACGTCCAGCGTCACACTCGAGGGAAGATCAGCCCCTGGTTGTGGTTGTGGCCAAGCCGAAAAGTCTGTCTTGAGGATGCGCAAAAGCAAGGCGGCAACCAAGAGAAGTCACAACAGTGAGGTCAGTCTGGCTGAGGGGAGTGGGCGGGTTAAAAAGGTTAGTTACCAACTCGTTTTGACGATGGCCAATAGACCCTGAAAGATGGGCATCTAAGTTTAACAGTGCCGGAGGGAATATTCACTTTTCGACCAGCGTGCAGCCCCAAACCAAGATTCATCTGACTCGAGGTTAACTCCACTACCACTCTTGTACAAAGTAGGCATTTGGCGAAATCACCCAGAGCCAAGAGCATGCCATGCAAGCTCAAGCAGAAGAGATATTATCTCAAGAAACTTCTAAATTCCTGTATTAATGAAATATGCCATTAAATAACTAGGCTTAGAACAATCCCTTCGTATTGATGTTGGAATAACTTTCAGTTCGATTGAAGAGGCGACTGGAAGACATTCGTAAGTTGGTTCCACCGAAGGCTAGCGTGCGTTGTCTTGGAAATGTGGTTGTAGATTTGTGCGAATACGTCCTCGGCGCACCGCCCTAGGACCCAGATGAATACCTGCTTAACGATAATTCATCAAAAATAAATGGGGAACGGGAGAAGTGGTCTGGCCAAAATACATAAAGATGAAGTCCCACTTAGAATTATTGTCAATTATAATAAAAAGTCACGATTTATTTGTAACCAGTTAAAACAAATCTCCGAAATGTGGAAAGTTTCAGTTAAGCAATTTTTTTGAATTCGTTAACTTAGTAGATGAGCAGGAAATGGAAAGTGATGATTTGCTGGCAAATTGCAGAAACAAACACGAGGTTTAGCTATGGGATCGTGTTTGTCATCAATTTTAGAAAAATAACTATATGGCTCAATTTAAGGAGGCACTATTAGTTCCGAAATTATTTGTTCGCTATATGGACGACTACTTTGCTATTTGGCAACATTGCAAAGATAACCTCGAGAATTTTCTTTGCGTGATGCACAGTATCGATGGGAAGACGAAATTCGCCATCGAGTTAGAAAAGGAAGGTAGTTTGCCTTTTCTTGATGTCCTAGTTAGCAAAGAGGGGACCAGATTACATCGAGATGTGTATAGGAAACCCACAAATGCAGGTTTCATTTTGAATTTATTCACTTACCACACTTATGAGGTTGAAGTAGGAGTTTTGAAGTCTATGATAATAAGGAGCCTACGTCTGGCAGATGTTAGACATCAGGACCGGGAACTGAGGGAACTAAGGATAATTCTGGTTGATAATAATTATTCACGAGGGCTGGTTGACAATTATTTTAGAATATTGCCAAATAGGATGAAAGGAAATGCCTATCTTGGGATAGATAAAAAGATGGATCACTCTACCAGAATTCGTATGCTGCCATCGTGTAATATGTCGAAGAAGATATGCAAATTACTGAGGAGATGGGACTTCAGGACCATTTGCAACGGTAAAATAACGCTTTCCCCGAGAACAAGAAGTACCACCGAGCAAGGTGAGGCTTTATTAGGCTGGAATTTACTTTTTAATCGCACATCACACTCATTTCAAGAGCAATGCACGCAC